TCAGGCTATTCATGTCATGGAAGATTTTTCTTTCCTCCTCAACTAAAATAGACATTTTTGCTAGGTAAAGTATTCTGGGCTGAGATCTATTGTCATGTATAACTGGAAATACCTTGGTCCAGGCTCTTCTGGCTTTCATAGTTTGCATTGATAACTCAGCTGTAATTCTGATGGGCTTTCCTTTGTATGTGATTTGTTGTTTTTCTTTTGCTGCTTTCAGTAGTCTCTCTTTTTTCTGTACATTTAGTGTTTTTACTATAATATATCATGGGGAGTTTCTTTTCTGATTCTGTGTATTTGGTGTTCTATGTACTTCCTGTATTTGTATGGGGATGTCTTTCCTTAATTTTGGGAAATTCTCTTTTACAGTCCTGTTTAAGATCTGGTCAACACCATCAACCTGAAATTCTGCTCCTTCCTCTATGCCTATGATCCATAGATTTGGTCTTTTCATGGTGTCCCACATCTTTTGCATATTCCATTCCTGTGTTTTAAAATTTTTTTCCATACTCTTTTCTCTCGTGGTCCAATTCTTAAACTTTATCCTCCAGTGTTGATATTCTGTTTTCCATTTCATTCGTTCTAGTGGTGAGACTTTCCCGTGTTTTTTCAAGTTGGCTTATTTAATTTTGTACTTCCTCCTTCATTTCTGCCTGAGTTTTCTTCAGTTTCTCTTTTGTGAATTCATTCAAAGGTTTATCCCTATCTTCTTTCAGTCTTTGATTTGTTTGTTTGTGTGCTCTTTAAATTCGTTGAATTCTTTGATTATGTTTATGATTGTTCTTTTAAATTCAGTGTCCTTGGTTATCTCTGGGGGTTCTCCTTGTAGAACTCTTCTACAGGACTGGTGGAGTTTGGTGGGGACACAGTGGTTTGGATTTCCATTTTATTATTCTTTCATTGTGATTTTGGCATGAGAATTTCTTTTGTTGTTTATGATTCTGATATGAGAATTGAGTTGACTTATACTTTTGTTTGTATATTGGTGTGCTTCGGTCCTTTCCTTATTGGTTACGTAAAGCTGGCTGGTACAGCTTTCAGGTTCTCTCAGGTTTTGTTTTGGAGGGAACTGATGGCTTCAGATCAGCTATTCAGGAGCACCCACAGAAGCCCAAGTCAGCTTCCAGTCAGATACACTCAGGTGTTCTTTTAAGGTTTGGACCCCCACTAGCAGGAACTGAGAGCAAAATTTGGGAAGTTTCCTAAGGGGGGCACAATTTTGGGACTCTCAGTTGGTCCCCTGCATTCTTAGTCCCTTTGCCAGAGGGAGGCCTGTATTTGCACTCTCTGGTGGTCAGCTGAGATCACAGCCACTACACTGATAGAGGTCAGAACCTACCCACTCAGGCTGTCTGCTAGGATCTCAGCCTTAGCCTACCAAATCCAGGTTTGCCCTCCCCATACCTGTTTCTTAATTGATTTTTTCCCTTGATGTTTAATTTTTTAGTTCTCTGTATATTTGAGATACCTCTAACCTTTTCTCAGATATATAGTTTGTGAAGATTTTTCCCTCTTGTAGGTTACCTCGTCACTGAAATGTTAGTGTCCTTTGCTGCAGAAACCTTTCTGTTCCCATTTATCAATTGCTGATCTTAATGTTTGTGCTATTGGGGCCTTGATAAAAAGTCCTTTCCTGTACCAATAAGTTCCAGCATATTCTCTGATTTCTCTCCTGTCAGTTTCAGGATATCAAATCTTGTGTTGAGGTCCTTGATTTCCTTGGAATAGGGTTTTGTGCAGGATGAGAGATATGAGTCTAGTTCCATTCTTCTATATGTAGCTATCCAAGTTGACCTGCACCATTTATTGAAGATGCTGTGTTTTCTCCACTGTGTATTGTTGGCCTCCTTGTCAAAAAATTAGGTGGTTGTAGGAGTGTGGGGTTATATGTGGGTTCTCAATTCTATTCTATTGATCAACGTGTCTGCCTTTATGCCAGTATCATGCTGTTTTTATTACTATAGCTCTGTGGTATAACTTGCAACCCGGGGTGGTGATACCTCCATTATTAATTTTTATTGTTCAGGATTGTTTTAATTATTTCTAGCTGATTTTTTTTTGTAGAAGATTTTACTTTATAAGGAAAAAAAGTGTTCAGTTCCAAACCATTGATCCTTTAGATGTCTAAGTCAAAGCTCAGAATGAGAGGACATAGCAAGCCATGCATGGCCTTTTCCAAAATGCCGCACTAGAATCTTAACCTGGAGGAATTAGAATACTTCTATTGTCCCTTACACCCACATCTCTTCCTCTAAACTTTTATTTTTATTTTTTTTAAAGGTGACATGCTTTTTAAAGCTTTGAGCTTTGAGGGGACTAACTAGACAGATGACTCAGTTTTTGCTAGGAAAAGTGGCAAAAGTTTGCTATTTTAAGCATATAAAACCTTTTTATATATAACACACACATATACATACATACATATATATATAGACACAGAGAGAAAAAGAAAGGAGAGAGAGAAAAAAAGTGGGGGGAGAGTAGCTTTGTAACCCTGGCTGGCTTAGAACTTGCTATGTAGACCAGGATGGACTCAAACACACAGAGATCTACCTGCCTCCACCTCCTGAGTGCTGGGATTAAAGGTGTCCACTACCATGCCTGGCTTTAAATTTATTATTTTTGATGGATGTTTTTAAACTTTTCACTGCTTTATAAATAGCACTATGTCACAATAAGTTATATCATTTTGGGGTGTATTCCATATTTAAGCATTCAGTAGGAAGTTCAGAGACAAATGAGCTATAGAAACGTTGCCAAAAACTTTTTCACAGTAAATCTCTTCTGGCCTTGTCAAATGATGTAGAGCTTTGGAGTTTAAATCAAAGTTTATCTGTGTGGAGCAGATTTAACATGATTTACTAAAAATTCTCTCGGCCCCCAAAGTGAGTCCTCCTGGGACTCAGATCTTAGGTGGTGAGGTGACATTGTTTAGGGAGGCTGTTCTTTTGTCAGATCCATAAAAGGGCCAGAGCTTCACTCTGTTACACACTAAGGAGAGGGATGCTGAGGTAAAAACAGCAACCCTGGAAGTACCTCTACCTCAGAGATCTTCTGAGACTATGTTCCCAACACTCATTCAAATTATTTTGATTGGAAAACTATTTTAAAGAGATTTCTCATAAGATATTGGCCCATTTTTCTAAAAATTACAATTGTCATTAAGCTCAGTGTGAGAAGGGAAATCAGGTGACAGTAAATGTGTTGTTACTGTCAGGCTAAATATGTCTTCAAGACACTTTCATTAAACATATGACTTTACTTATAACAACTTCCCACAGGACTCCTTACTTTATTTTAATAGTTAGATAGCTAAACAATTAGTCGTTATGTTCCTTAGCAATTTTTCTGTTTTTACCTCATAAACATCATCATTTACTTATCTAAGCTTCCTTTTATGGTTTGGCTAATAAAAATGTGAAAGTCAACTTGGTGGCTTACCTGTGGTAAACACATATCAACACATACATAGGTTTTTATTATTTTACAATTCTCAAATTTACAAAAAAGCTGCAGGAACATTTCAATGAGCATCTTTGCCCCAGAATCACCACATCCCCCCCTCTATTCTATTTCTCTCCCATCCCCCCACAAACACACACATATTTTGTATTTTTTACAAATAAATTGTCAATATCATCTTTCCAGCTGACTCTGTTCCACATGCATCTTCTACAAATAAGGATCTTTATTTTATAACCATAACCCTCAATTCATGCCATCATTAAGTCAGTAAGATCATCTAATATACAGCATCCCCCCCTCTATTCTATTTCTCTCCCATCCCCCCACAAACACACACATATTTTGTATTTTTTACAAATAAATTGTCAATATCATCTTTCCAGCTGACTCTGTTCCACATGCATCTTCTACAAATAAGGATCTTTATTTTATAACCATAACCCTCAATTCATGCCATCATTAAGTCAGTAAGATCATCTAATATACAGTGAATATTAAGGTTTCCTACAGTTGTTCTAAAACAGTCAATCCCTGTTCAAATATTGCATTTGGTCTATGCATCCTAAGTTTCCACTAATATGAAAAGTTTTACTGATATTTTAAAATTTTTGATGAGTTTGATGTTAGAATCTAAGCAAGATGTTTTGAGCATGTTGTACTTTCTCCATTTTTCTGATTTTTCTTCCTGATCATATTCAAGTTAAACACTTTTTTATAACAGCATATGAAGTTGGACTTCGTACTTCATGATGAGGAAGTGTTAAATGATAGACTAACTTTCAATACTGTTTTTTAGTACTATTTGATCAGCTAATGTGGTACCCATCAGATTTCCCTTGAAAAGGCACATTTTTCCTTTCCAATAAATATGATATTTGTTGAGGCCATAGAATATACTTTTGAACTTTATGCCTGGTTTAATTTTTTCCTGTACCATGGTTTATTTATCGAACCCCATTTTTCATGTTCTACCATTGTATTTTGGGTAATCTTATAAGACATGTCCTATCACTTCTGGAATGAAGTGGAAATAAACTATGCATTTTCAAATCTTTTTCATATAAAGCTCTTGGGATAATCCTATTGGAATAAGTACATTTTCAATTAAATTTCCCTATATGACATAGTCAGTCTAATGAACACCTTTCCCCGTACGCTTACTTGGTGCTGAGGTACCCATGCCAAACAACTTGTTCTCTCTAGCTCTTATCCGTGTCAGTGTGAGCTTAATGATACATCATTTGCAAGATGACTAATATGGGAACAAAGAGAAAAAGGACAGCACAAGCACTTTTGACCCAAAATAGACTAGATGAAGAAGCCTCAGGGTGTTTGAGTACACGGGTTCTCAGGGGTTTGAGGATCCGTTCTCTCTGAGTGAGGATGGCTGCCCGAGCCCCAGGCCATTTCCCTGGCCCTTGTAAACGGTACTGGTATGCAGTGCAGGGCCCCCAGAAGATCTCCTTGGCCAGCTTTGTATCCCAAAGGAAGAGAGAAAGCAGATTGGGTTTGACTCCTAACTCAGAACCAATCTCATCCATGTAGTCGATAAACTGTACTCGGCGTGCGTCTCTAGGGCTTTCCAAAAACCTGGAAGAAGGAAAACGTTGACATTCTTGTGTCAGATTTCAGCCACTGTTGTCCCCTGAGTTTCCAGTGGAGTTTGTTTTTGCTTTTTAATGGTTCAGTATCTTCTGTTTACAAATAGTCTTAATTTCATAGACATATCTTACTTCCTTGGAATACTATTGTCTTTAAACATAAGTCATGTATTTCTGAAGTGCCTAGAACTGTCATATATACATATTTATAAATTGTTGAATGATTAGATTAAACCTTGGACATACAATACACACATACATGTATCTTTTAGACATAGAGTCTGATTACATTATATAAACAATATTGAAAGGGATCAAGAATTGAATAGAATAGAGTAAGTGATAAACAATCCAGTTCATTTTATGCTTTCAAGAGACACAAAATATCTTATCATATATTAATTCTGGACACAAATTATGCCCTGGAATACTCTTAGCCATAATTATTCCACAAACTTGAAAATTAAGAACCACTTGACTAGTTTTTTTGGGGGGGTGGAGAAAAACAATTGACAGTTTATAAACTATCAAAACTTTTCAAACTGTTTAGAAGACGCTAATTAATATTTAAAAAATATCATAAAATGTGAACAAGCCATCTAGCTAAATAAAAGTTAGAAGGGAACACTAAACCAGGCTAAGGAAAGCAGCAGTAAGACATTAATTAAGATAAAAAACTAAATTCATGAAATCAAGGAAAGGAGAATTGATAAATCATAAGGTAGTTGCTTGAAAAAATAATAAAATAAACTCATTTCTTAAAGTTATGAAACTGAAATAAGAATATTTTATCGCTTCTTTCAAACTCCCCCCTAAGGGTGCTCTTGAACTGATATAACCAGAGTAGTAGATTTACAAATTGAACAAATTGTGCATATTCATAAGTTACTAATTATTTGATGATACATTTGCATAATGTTTGTCTTTTTCCTAGGTTCTGAACTTGGATGGTTTTTCACATAGTCTTTGTGACCTTAGACCTACAAGGAAGGAATGAATGCTTCCTGTGGTTTTGATGGTTCTGTTTGGAGAACTGCTCATTGCATAGACTCTGGGGCAGTGCAGTAAGTGAGGAGAAGCTGGGCAAGGTGGTCCATGTCTTTAGAGGCAGAGTCAGGTAGACTCTCTGTGAGCCTGAGGCCAGCCTGTTCTCGTTGAATGAATGATTATAAACATAGCAAGTTTCAGGCAAGCTGGGGCTACAGGGAGACCCTGTCTTAAACAAAATAAAACAAAACAACCCTAAAACAGTAAATGAGGAGACTCCATGTCCCATAGCCAGGCATTTTCATACCTGCACCCCATAGTGTCATTGAACTAAGATGATGAGACATGCAAAGAGAAAAACCAAATAGCTCTCTTTCAACAGGTTTCATTTACTTTAACCAAAATGAGGTTTCTTTCTTACTGTTTTGCCGTGATCCTTTTCCTTTTGTTGATGTCAGCCATCATGTCACTCCCTGATGGTAACTTTTTCAGTCCTGAGAAAAGATAAACATTGGAGAACTGTCAGAAGGACTGGGTGAGACACACATCAAATCTGCATGGACCACATAAAGCCATGTATATAAAGCTCTTCAGAAAGATCATTCTCTTCCATCAGTATCAGGCTGCCAGGAAGAGGTGTCTACTTTGACTCAAGAGAAATAGGTTTTTTTAGTTCTTTCTCAGCTTAAATCTGCACGTGAAATACCTCAATATTAAGCATTCCCCTTACTGAGGCTTTTCTAATTAATACATAGTATTTGCATATATTTATGAAATACACTGTGAGGCTTTGATTCATGTGTAAATGGGGCAATAATCCACTTAGGATAATTAACATATGTATCACCTTAAACTTTTCTCATTTGAAAAATTAAGTTTTAGTTAGCTTTTGAAGTATCAGGTTTCCTTATGGCAGACCAACAGAGAGGACAAAGTTGGGCTCAAGGTGCCATAGCAATGGTGTGACAGACATCAACTAGTTACCAGACAAGTAAAAGCCATAAGGGTGTCTGCCATTTTGAACAGTTTCCCCTGTGAGGGATGCATTGCTTACAGGTCAGACTACTGGTTTGTCCCTTAGCTAATGAGAGTATCCCTTGAGAGGAGGACTGTAAACATTGTTCTCCAGCTCTTCCTTTTCAGTAGAGCAGATATAGCTGAGGGCTTTCATTTTCCAATGCTAGGGATCAACCAAATGAGAACCAGAACATTGACCATGCCAGGCAAGTGCTCTACCATCAAGCTACACCTCCTACTTGAAGAGTCCTCAAAGAAGTCATTGGTGATTCTGGTATAAAATTATGCACTGCTTGTGAGTTTCATGAAATGTCTTATAAAACGATTTGAAGATGACTGTTCAGAACACAGTAAGGGTTAGACTTGTAGAAGAGCATGTCCATTGTAGCACACTGAAGTTTTATACATATTCATACCTTGTGAAGAAGCAATTATTTTTGCTATACATACAGAAGAAATATGTTTAACAAAAGGCTTATGTTAGTTTGCTCATGGTGTGATTATTTATACTAGCTCTAAGTATCAATGAACATAGAATGAGGAAAATTGTGAGAAAAGACACAGCTCCACATATGGATGATATCCATTCACATCCATATATCTAACTGGTAAGTTTATGGATTATATACTATTAAAAATAAATCTCTGCACATAAGATGGATTTCACAAATATTATGAGAAAAAGAGGCCTGTTATGATGGGAATTATATTGCATGATTCACTTAACCAGCCACATGGCATCAAAAAATGAGTTATGTAAGATAATCACGATAAGCTACTAGGACACACATTCAAGTCACACGTAGTGAAAAGCAGTGCACCTTATAATGTCCTGACTTGCTTCATTGATAATTTAGAAACTGCAGTGCACCTCTGCCAAATTCTATTCTGATCTTTTTTTTGATGCACTTTTGTTTTGCTTGGAAACATGGGTTGGGGTAAGCACTTGGGAAATCTCACTACATTTCTGAGACATGTTTATAGGTGTTTCTCCTTTATTTATTTTCCTATTCTGACTTCCTTGAGATTCCATAAAGCCTCACTTATAATTAGCCTTTTTTCTGAAGAGTCAAATGAATGAATATCATACACTCAAATGTAACCTGATTCCAATTTCATGTGATACCTATCTTTATCTCTATCTGTCTGCCTGCCTGCCTATGTATCTATGTATCTGTCTGTCTGCCCATCCATCCATCCATCCATCCATCCATCCATCCATCCATCCATCCAGGTTCTCACGTACTATAAACTAGCCATGAACTCACTGTATAGCAAGGCTGTCTTGAGCTTCCAATCCTCTTGCCTCTACCTCTTGAGTTTTGAGATCATAAGTGTGTACTACTGCATCCAGTATGTTTTAAATTTTTATTTCCAAAATACTTTCATTTATTAGATCTTTTATTTAGTGTGTGTGTGTGTGTGTGTGTGTGTGTGTGCATGTGTGTAGGTGAGTGCATGCCACAGTGGGTGTGTAGAGATCAGAGGGGAATTTGCAGGAATTGGTTCTCTCCCTGTACCCATATGGGTTCCAGGGACCTGGAATGTGGTCATTAGGCCTATGTGCTCAGGGTCTGAATATGTTCATAAACAGGAATCTCGTAGAAATTAATAAAAACAAAATAAAACCAACCAAAACCAAAATTTGAGGAAGCCCCAAAGTAAGCAGTTTCTAATGATCAAATTTCAGATCCTTAGTGGAATATGGGACATTAAATAGAAGACTGGGTTTCCTTATCACCTGCATTTGTGATTAGAACACTCTTGAGAAACCTGGCACATACCTGTGAACACACGTGTAACCCATCGGCTTTGGATCTCTGACGTGGGAATGGTGGCTCCCATTGGCTGGAGGATGCCAATGAAAGCTAGTGTTGGCTTCTCTAGCAGAGGAGGGAAGACAAATTTAAACATGGACTGCTGGCTGTCCAGGATTGCTGGCTCATCCTCCAAGAAAGGGAATGAGAAAGTGTAGCCTGTGGCAAAAATGACAACATCTATGCGCTCCTCAGTGCCGTCCTCAAAGATGGCTGATGTCTCTGTGAACTCCTTCACATTTGCTTTCATCAGTAGTTTTCCAGTAATTATGTAGTTTGGCAGGTCATCACCGAAAGTCAACTGATGACTCAGATATCTGTATATTTGAGAGTATATTGACAAGGAACAAGACAATTTTTTCATAAAGAAAATGTGGTTCTTGGTTCATCATATTATTTCACTGATTTTAATATTCTGTATTGGCCTTCCTAGACACATGATGGTATTAACTGGCTAAGAACTTGATTTCAGAATCAGAAATGAGCCTTAGCAGTGGTTCTATCTCTTACTCACTGTGAATGCTTGGACAGGTCATGAAACAGTTCATTCACAGTTTCATAATTCATAAGACTACAATAAGGATATAGCAAACAGATCAGACAGTATTTATCATGTCATACGAACACTATATTTAGGTAATGGCAATGATAGCAGGAGCAAAATTCTTCAATGTTGACTTACGTATTTGCTCCTGATATGTAAAGATTGGCATCAGTTAATCATCAGTCTTTTTCAAAGGTCCACAAACTGCAACTGCATGACTTTAACAGTGAATTGTTTTGGGAAATAATTGTGCTCAGCGACACACCAACTTTTGGTAAGTGTAATGTAAGATTATAATTTGCTTCATAAATCCATAGTCCTAGGTGTACTTTGCTATTGATATGTTTATCTTCTATAATCTTTCATCAGGCGTTGCACATCAAATACCATCAAACTAGTCATGAAGCACTCTACATTTTTCCTTGCAGATAGATCTAAAAGTTAACTTTGTTTTCAGTGGTCCATGCAATAATTTAAGCCTTTATTACCTTTTACATTTGTACCAAAGTTTCGTTTGTTTTTTTTGAGACAGGGTCTCACTCTGTAGGTCTTGCTGGCCTAAGACTCACTGCATAGCCCAGAATGGTGTTGAACTTGCACCAGTTCTTTTGCTTCAGCCTCTTGAGTACTGGGCCACTCTGCTTGGCTTACTTAGTTTTAAAAAAATTTTATGTATTTTGATTTTATGTGTATGAGTGTTTTGCCTGCATATATGTAAGTGCATCATGTACATGCAATGCCCATAGAGGTCAGAAGAGGGCATTGGATTTCTTGGAATTGGAGTTAGGAACAGATGTTAGCTGCTATGAGGGTGCTGGAAACCAAACCCAGGTCCTTTGCAAAAGCAACCAGCGCTCTTAACCCATGAGTCATCTCTCCAGCCTCTTAAATGTTTTTATTTTAAGGACTATGGTCTAGGTAGGGAGAAAGGGAGAGGACAAAGAAAATCTATTTGGTTAACACCAAGCTTTAAGGATCTGGTTGAAGAAAAGGATGGAGAAAGAAAGTGGAAAAAGAGTATCCATGGAGAAGTTTGATCAGGAATGAGGGTCCTAGATGAGAGAGAAGACTGCCCGGTGTGGGGTGGGATGTGAGAAAAAGAAAAAGTTTGCAGCTAGGGAACGGACCCTCAAATGTCACCCAGAAGCACTACAGGTGTGGGGGGCAAGTTTCAGTAAGGTGGTAGGTGTGGATGTTGTTAAGTGAATAAAAGAGCAGAGCAGCTGAGATCAGACACAGGCTGCACTGCATGAGTATAGGGTGTTAGTGATATGGATAATGAAATTGTCCTAGCCAACAATAGGCTTGAAGGCAACTGTGGACTCATAATTAAATTTAGAGGGTGAATAGAAACCAGCTAACAGGTGATGGTATGATGGGCAGGTGAGGCAGGAAGTAACATAGTGAGGTGCCATAAATCTCAAATAAGACTCAAGTTTAATTTTTAAAAAAGAATTCTGTATTTTAACAATCTCAAACATCTACCTTAATTTAAAATTTTATTTATTTTTATTTTATGTGTACTAATGTTTTGCCTGCATGTATTTAAGTGCATTCATACATGCAATGCCCAAGGAGACCAAAAGATGGCGTCAGATCCCCTAGAACTGGAGTTATAGATGGTTGTCAGCCACCATGTAGGTGTTGGGAACTGAACCTGGGCCTTCTGTAAGAGCAGCCAGGGCTCTTAACTGCTGGGCCATCTTTCCAGCCCCTGACGTTTAAATTTAAGACTTGACCAATGTGCATTTCACACACCTTAGAATGTTGGTCACTCCTTAGTTCTTATTCCACACATCTGTAATATATTCTACTGACTGGTGTAGTTTAGAAATATTATTTGCGTGCCTGAAATTCTGTCTAGAACTTACCTGTGTTTAGCCTGCAGTCCATAATTAGCATGGTTAAACCTTGCATTTAGTTTGTTCTCTGCCCATCTGTTGATCATGAATGTGGGACAGAATTTTTGGAGAACTTGATTATAACGGGTGAAAAGAGCCGTGTCTAAGGGATTCCCATTATCCCAAACTCGGTGCCATATCCATGACCCTCGTCTTGTGCTGAGGAAAACCTGCAAGAGAGAAGTGGCTGCCAGTAACAACTTTGTTTCTAATTATGCTGATCTCAGATTCTCAGAATACTTTTTTTTTAATTGTCAAGGGAATAGTATTAACTTCTCATATAGCCTCACCACCCTGTCTGCTTCTCTTTTCCTCTTACTCCACAAACAGGCACATTTACTTAACATCTTTTCATTTTGCTTATTGTTTAGCATTGGGCCTTCTTTCTTCTAATTTTGCTAGATGTCCAGAATTCTGTTAAATCCCAGAATATAAAAAATTTCCACAAATAGGTCATGTTGGAGTTATATATTAATGTCCACATTCTCTACATACTGTGTAGTTCTGTAATCCACAATGATGGAGAAATATCTGAATACAATGTTTGTAATAACAACCAAAAAGAAATGGGAAAATTCACTCTATGTAAATAGTATAAAGTACACAAAACCTACAATAACATGTTAGAATTGGTTCTGTTCTCTATTTTGAGTCATTTAACTGAGGCTTTAAAGAAGTTTACAGCTTTCTAATGAAGAAACAATCAGTAGCTTGTAAGGTTAAGATCAGAGAGATTTCTGACTTGTATATTAGAGTGCACAGAAAGCCTGGTGTGGGTATGTGGCCCTCAGAATGGCTGATGGTATGCTCATTCATTAAAGGAGGGCCAAGCAGGGTCATTGGACCTCGCTGCATTATCCAGCCACCCTTCCCAGACAGCTGAATGTAATTTGATGCTAATCACACATGGCCTTCTGAATTTGGGGAGAGCTAAAGTATACAATCTGGGGAATGCTAGGAAAAGAAGGCTTAGCACATACTGGGTAAAGGCTTTCCAGCAACCTCTCAGTTATCTTGGTAAGTAAGCTGAATAAATTCATTGGTTCCCCAGTAAAACTTTAATCAAACATTGGCTTGACACTAGAACCTTGAAAGGGAGGAAGCATTGCTTAATATCCCCAGGAAAAGAAGTCTCACAACAGATGGAAAATTTATTTGTTAATGCTATTGTGTCTCATAATTGTTTAAAAAAAGAAAATGAGATGTAAAAGATGTTAAAAGGATATGGGACTGGAGATATTTTCTAAAATAGAAAAAAATGAGAAAGCCTAAGCAAGTGATAAAGGTCTGTTCAGGTTCGTTATGATATATAAAGGATGAGACAAAAATAATATACACATAATCTTAAAATTGCTATGGTCATAGCTTAGTCAACTAGTTTAAGGAACAAAATATATAATCCAGTCAAAGTTTATCTGAGAACATTTGGTTTTTTACCCAAGCCTTATCTACATGGCATATGATAATTAAAAGTACCAGAGTGGTGGAACTAAAGTTATTGGGTGTTTAACAGCCAAACTTTGAGGCCTTATACTAATGTGGTCAGAGGAACTTAAAGGACAGTTTTTGCCCCTTGCCCTCCAAGGTCAACTAAGTTGCAGGGGACTATGGAACATCTCTCAAAATGTCCTGTAACTGTGGTGAGT